GCGCAAAGATGCGAGATGACAATCGACGGGTATCGGCAGATTTGTGTTCTGTTTTTGGCGTTTACGGATACTATCGGTCTCCGGGGGTGGAACTGGTTTGACATCGGGTCCGCATCTCCAGCCGTAGGTTATGGGTTATGGGCACACAGGAAAAGCGCAGTTGGTCGTCATCCGAGATGTTCTCCATATTCAATTTTGCAATATTCAGGCCCAGGGCCGCCGATACGGATCGTATCCGCTGCCGTGTTGCTCGGTGCAGGGAATGACCCTTTCTTGCACTGCCCGCCAAGGATCAGGAGCAAGAAACGACACGGACGACGGGTGCTGCCCACAGAGCCAGGGGCAAGTGCCTGCCTAGAAAACGGGAGCCAAGGCTGAGGGATGAGATGAGAAAGGACCTGTGGCCACTGTGTGTCGTGTGCTCCGTGTTGGAGACGACCGCGCAAGTGCTTCATGTCGGAGGGGACGGGACTACGTAAGATGAAGGGTCAAGGTTTTCAGCAGCAACGTTGTGTGAGGTATCGTGTCGTGCCGTGCTGGTGGTTACTGGTGAGGGATGGATGGGCTTGAATGTTTCTTCGCCGTGTCATGAGTGAGACGGCGATGTCGGTCATGTTCCGCCCAGAGAAGCAAGAGGCAACACACCGCTTTGCACATCAGTTTCCCGAGTCAGCGCGGTGTCAGGTACTGGAGGCTCAAGTGATGAGGGCGAGTGAGGGTGTGGTGAAGGACAAGAGAAGCCAAGACTGCGGGTTTGGAATCCCAGTGGTTCTTTTGGATGATCGGCGGGCAAGCTACGGAATATACATGGACACCATTTGATATCAAGACTCAGAGACTCAACAGGTGAGGACGCGGTATCCGTCCGTATGGGCGATACCGAGCTGCAGGTGTGAGATTTGCGAGCAGGAAAAAGAAATACGGCCTACGATTGACTCTGATGGATGCCACTCGACTGGAGAACTGGCGCAAAAAAAAATTCAAAAAAATTCAGCGGGATCCATAATGGCGGGCGATAGACGGAGATAAAACACGTTCCATGATTGAATGACACCCGCCTCAGTGACAAGCCGCGACAGTGACAGTGAAGTGACAGTGAGCGGCTTTCTCAGTGGAAGAGGTGAGACGGAGCGTGAGCCGTGCGCGGAGAGCCCCACCAGCGTCTCCATCTTTAACTGGGGACGCGTGGTGCAGCCCTGCAATTAGGGGACTCCTTGTCCGTTCATTGGACGGTGGTGTTTGGTAGACGTCCCGTATCCGTATCGCATGCACCGTACCAAGTACCGCTCCGTCCCGTTTCGCCCGTTCCGTATTCCGTCCAGTCGGCGAGCAGTTCACCTCAGTGTGCCTTTTCCACTTCCATTTGTTGGCCACTGGCTCTTGGCCATCCAACCATCATAGAAACACTTCAACGGAAGGCCTCCAGCCCGACAACCCGTCCGAGGCGCCGCCGCCGCCGCCGCCGCCCTCCTGAAGCCTCACAGCCTCTCGATCGCTCATTACCTAGGACCGTCAGGGCCGACGCGGATTGCAACGGGGACAATGGAAACGGCTGAGCAACAAGCTCGGCACGACAGCTCCCTCGCGAGGTTGATCGGCCAGGTCCCAGTGGTCCCTTCGGCCACTGCCTCTGCGCCGCCTCCTTAGCCCAGGGCCCTTGGCTGATGCTGGCTGATCTGACTTCTGGTTGGCGGCCCTGGAATCTGGAGGCTTGCTCTCTGCCCGTGTACGGATGCCCAGGTAAGGTTAAGGATAACGGGGCGGCCCCCTCCAAGCTCGAACAAGCCTGGCACAGGCCGCGGGCAGTGACAAGACAAGCCTGAATCCCGCCTGAGCCCTGGAGGGAGCCCCTCCGAGCTACGCTGGAAACAGTGTCCAGGGCGAGGAAAACCTGGGGCAGTTCAGTCCAGTGCCGTCGGCCGAGGTGCGTGGTGCCCGTAGAGCGTGGAGGAGACAGCTGCCGCCCGCAAATCGTCCGTCGCAGGAGACCGGAGTACATCCACATCCGACTTTACCCCCTGGTGCCCTGGTGCCCTGGCGGCGTTGCAGTGCGGCAGTGACACTGACAGCGGCGACAGTGACAGACGGTGACAGTGACTGAGGTGCTGGACCCCCTCAGTCACTCGTCGATGCACCAGAGTGCCCGCGTCATTACTCGCCGCCCGCCCTGCCTTGGCCTCTCGTTTCTGGTCAGTATCATCGCTGTAATCCTCGGCGTCCCTCCGTGGATACCTTATCTTACCTTATCTTGTACCTTTATCGTGGATCCGTAGTGTACGCTGTTGCGCCGTTTACGCAACATCGTCGTCAAGGGCCGTCTTGAGCATTTCGCCTCCCCGTCATCTTGGTGTATTCCTTATCCGCAGCGTCCTCAGTCTTGTACAATCTGTATAGCTGTTGATCCGTCATAGAACCGTTAGGGTTGAAGAAGAGCTCTCACTACACCTTTAAGCTGATATTCGTGATTTGAGGCATCCCGACTGTGTGGTGCCTAGTGCAGGTTTGCCCCTCTGAAACGCAGCACGCAGCCAGCCGTCGCAAAAGCAAGAAAACACCAGAAACATACAGAGCCGGACATCGCGAGAAAAACAAACATCAGCAAACACGAATAGACAATATGTAGATTCGTATTCGCCCGTTTCATCTAATGGCTTTTTATTGTTGTTATTATTATTGAGACCGCCTTCCATGTGCTGGGTATCCTCTGCTGTGTACGCCGATATATCGCTCTCGTCTTACACAACCAGTGTCACTTATTGCTCCCCTGCATCTACCAATCCCTATCCCGATACCACTCTGACAGATGGCATCTGAAATATCGCTCATTCAGCTGCCGGACAGCCAGCCGCCGAAAAGAATTGCGGCAGTAAAAACCCCCCAACCGCTTCGGTGCCGGCCACGATCCAGGCCTCAGCCACGGAGTCCAGACTGGCGGGCGAGCCTTACGGCAGTATCAATCCGCGTGGTCTGCAATCTGTAATCCAGTTAGGCTCGGCCGGTTCGCTTCGTCTTCCCGCTTCCTGTCGTCCACGTCGGCAGTCTGTTTTTCGATGGCTCTCCCATCCGGCAAGGCGGTTGGGCGAGCCACAGCCACATCATCTCGTCAGGCCTTGACCGAAGCCTTACGCCGGCGGAGGCCATCATCACCACGACCGAAGACGGGTGTACCGCTCAAGTACCTATCCCGTTCCGGAAACCCCCGCATCTGGAGGCCAGCCAGCCAGCCAGCCTGACAGATTGTCGATGACTCTTCCCATGGCTGAGGTGCGACAGGTCGACAGGCAGCATCAGCAGCAGCGGTATCGAGGCAATATCCGCCAATACGGGCAATTCTGCAGTGCCAGGTGTGCATCTCACGCACCGCAGTCAGCCTCTTGGACCCCTGTCTCCGCCATTCTGACAGGACCTCTCACGGCGTGTTCTGACGGTGCTCTGAGACAGCTGAGAGCACAGCAGACCGTGGCCGGCAAGTGGTTGTAGTCATCCAGTCACCGAGATTGAGATATTGTCTGATAGTCAGCCTGCACAGTCCCTTTGCGTCGGGCTGGTATGTGTATATGTGCAGGATGTGATTCTGTGTGGTGTTTGCCTTGCGTTGAAGATGTTCGATCTATTAGTGCAAAGTGATTGATAGCTGTCACCATTACATTACGGCAGTCAGTAGAGAGAGGTGCCGCTGTGGAAGCACCAAACGTAGTGCACGCCTCGCTGGACTGGAGTGGACTGGACTGGCTCCGTCTCCGTTTCCGTCGCTCCGTTTTGTGGCTCATGACGGTTTGAGGTATCCATCCGTAAGGTGGCCGAAAACTGGCGGGCTCCACCTTCACCATTTTGAATTTGCACAGACCGACACCCCCTTGCTCCTTCCCACCCTTAATCGTACCCCCTGTACCTCCTTCCCCCCTGCTCCCCTGCCCCTTCCCCCCCTGCTGCTCCCCCCCTTCGTCCGTCCCTCGCTCCTTCCCTCCTGGCGCACTTTCCACTTTCCCACCCGACACTCGCACACTCACACCTTCCCGCCACGCGAGTGAGGGAGGTACGGAGGTACTTGGGTACTTCCTCGGTCCTGAGGTGCGCTTTCTGTGTGTGCGACCTGAAAATAATACGGGGAAGGTGCAGGCCCTGAGGAGTGAGGCCTGAGGGAGGTCCTTTTCTGCCTTGTGCCTGCCGCCTGAGGGTGTCGCCTGCCTTGTCAAGTACCCTGCATCCACCATCCACCGTCCACACCTTCCACAACCTGGGAAGGGAAATCCCATAATCCCTCTCTCCTGCCCGTCCATATTAACCCAGCCGCCTTCCGCTTCCGTTCCGTCACGACGGCCTCTTCCCGTTCTCTCTTCCACTTCTCTCCCCCAAGATCAAAGTGTCGACACTTTTCTACCACCCATCACCAACTTCGATAATAGTGCCGGCACTGCCCATTCTCGGCTCTCATCGTCGTCGCTCATACACACACACACACACACACACACACACACAGACACATCTCCCGCTGCCTCTTCCGTGATCCACGATCCAGCCTTCTCTCCGCCTAGCGCTGTCTCGCCTCGCCCTGTCTATCGGCAACCGATCTTGAAGAAACGAGAACAAAGAAATCGCGTCTTCTCCTGTGCTTCTCCTGGACCCTTCGATATCCGACGCCCTCTTTCTCTTTGTCGCTTTCGTCCAGACCCCTCTCCCTCCCGCCGTCATCCCGAATTCCAGCGGTCCAGACTTCCCTGCCAGTCCAGACAGCCAGCCCACACACCCTGATTCTATTCTCAAGGGTCCCTGCTATAGACGCTTAAATAACTCGCGCCACCATCATCCCGGTTGTTCCCAAACACTGCAATCAACCAACTCATATACGCGAAATCAACGCATTACGCGCTGCTCTCTGCACCAACCTGTACACAAACAAGCATAAAGGGGCCGCCATTCCATCCCATCTTGCATACCTACCCGCCCGCTTCGATTCCACCCAGAGCCGCACAACATACACACACAACTCCACTCTCAAAATGTCACCGGCACAAGATCAGTACTACTACGTTATTCCCAACGTCAGCACCATGGACCCCAACGCTAGGGAAGTCGACCTCGCCTCCCAGAGCTGGATCCAAGCCACCATCATCGAGGACGATGACCTCATGTTCGGCGGCAAGTCGCTGAGCACTTGGTACGAGGAGGAGAGGAGACGTTTGAGCAACACCTCGTCAGACGAGGAGGAGCATCGCGGTCGCCAGAGGGTACGTCATGAGCAGCCTCAGTCTCAGTCTCAACCGAAGCAGCACGTGGCTAACATTCCCAAGGTCCGCAAGCACCACTCCTCCCACAAGCACCACCACCATCACCACCACCAGTCGGCCCAGCACACCGGCTCCTCCGACAAGAAGCACTGAGCGCACCTTTCCCGATTACCATCTCCTTCGGTATAGACAGCCTCAACCACGATACCCCTCGCGAGCGCTCGAATTCACTCAACATACCCTTTTCACGTCGACATTTCACCACACCTGCACCATTCCGCAAACCGTGGATCGACTTCTCTTCCCTTGACCAATACCCGTCTTCACCTGTGTGGCATTGGGTACACCGGCGTTTGTTTTTTGTCAGCGTTGCATCTCTCGGTCGGATTCACTAGAACGGCTATGTCATAAAGAGGGACATGGACCAGCATGGGGACCACCGGCGCCAATCCGAGGAATATGCATGATCCCTCCGGCAGCACCTTTCGTTTAATTGTTATTGCATCCATCGCAACGGCCTGCGATAGCGTTCATGATTCGCGCATCTAGAAGGTTTATGGGTTCAGCACATCACATCAGCAGCACCAGGCATCTTCTCCCGGCTGTAACGCCGCGCGAGTTTGGCTTGTTTTGCATCGAATGGCATTCGCCATATCGAACAACCCGGGGTTGAAATTCTGCAGCGGAGGTTCTTCGCACGACTCGTTCCGATTCTGGAACAGCGTGGCTACAGGTTAGCAGGATGAGATTGTTGCGAGGCAACGCATGTATCAGTGGAGCTCAGCGTCTGTTTCGAGTAGCGGTGAGAATCACCCTCCCCACAGCGACATGGGCCTCCGAGATTGAATACAAAGAAGTTAAAGTAACTCTTGAGCACCTTATCGTTGACGTGATTATGCAATCCTGGACAAAATTTGGGTCTCTGTTTTTTGATATTGGACCGCGATGCAGCGCCAACACAACTCGCAGCAGGACAGCACAGCACAACACAGCACACACCGCCGCCCAAAGACATGTCTTGGAGCGCATCGCAAATCTTCAAGTAGAATCAAGACACATCAAGACAATCTACCAGACCGACATTCCCTCTCACGCATCTACCCGTCTACTAATTCGCTAGTCTGGCCCTGCCCAACAGTTGAGTCACCCACGCCCCTTCTGCCGCGCAGAAATCCAACAGATCGGGCTCCGTTGAAGGTTACCATCGACCCTGACATTCCACGCTGTCTGATTGGAAACCGAACTCTCGTTAGGGCTGCAGCTGTCTGGCCGGCTGGCTCGCTTTCTGTGATTGCACCACACCTCTCCCGCTTTCTCCCTGATTCCTGCTGCAACTACTACCTACCACGGTTGTCGACGGGTCTGGAGAAGAGGGAAGGGAAGGGAAGGGAAGCGTTGCATGCGCTTGCCGCTGCTGCAGCTGCTGCTGCCAACTGCATGCATGCGTTAGCGCGTTCGCCCGACCGGCGGGTTCTGCCGGGACGTGGAGGTGGAGCTGGGTTGGAGTCGTTGCCGGGTCCTCCCTACCGCTGGAGCCCTTTGTCCGGCATCGGATGCTGCACACTGGACGGCGGCCTGGACGGTGGTGGGTAGGTGATGCCGATGCAGTGCCGAGATTGACGGTTTTGAATGCGGATGAAGGTGACCGGGTCTTACCGAGGGGGTTTGACTGCGATCGTGATCGTGGTCATGGAAAAGAGTGATTGTCGAGATGGCGAGGGTAGGAAAGAGTGGTTTACTGGCCTGACTAACTGTTGTGCGCTGCCCTTTCGGCCGTAGATGTTTGGTATTCAGACTTGGGCACGAGAATGAATGCGTACTGGGAACACTTGAGAGACTCGGATTGCATCCAATCGTGCTATATAAAGATGGAATTGATGAATAAATGAATGAATAATATCGCAATTTACCACTCGCGGGGTTTCAAGAAAGGGTTGATGAGGTGTGATGGTGTTCTGCGTGGACGTGAATCCTTCGTATACTCACTCGGGCAACAATTATTGACGAAAAGCAAGCATATAAGCAATATGCTCGTCTATTCCGGAGCTAGAGGCAGTCAGCTCTGCGCTGGACAACCAACAGCCCGGCTGACGCCTCACGTCTTTCCCCAAAGAGGCAATTCGGTGTATCGTACATTTGGCAGAGCTGCACAGCCCGCTCGACTTTTTCCATCAAGGGAAATTGAGAGGGTGGTACTGCTGCGCACGTCGTCATTTCTTCAGGCGAAGCTGGTGGGATTCTCATTATGTCAGGCAGTGTTGCTGGGAAGAGAGTCTCTACAAACAAGGCAGATCATTGATACAGATGACGGCTGGCTGGTTATGTATTCCCGATGGGTATAAAGACCTTGGTCTTCAGCAACTTCGACAGCAAGTCTGAATATCGTTTAATAGCAACACAATACGATTGAACCCCATACTTCAAGTACCAATCGATACACCACGTGCCTTTGTCCCGCGATGAAGATTCAGAGCTTCTCAACAGCGCTTCTGCTGCTCCAAGGAGCTCGCGCAGATGCAGCGTCCAGCGGCCAAAAGGGAATTGAATGGGGTGACTGTACCGAGTTCAACAGCACCGAGCCCATTCAGTGCGCGAACTTGACGGTGCTTCTCGACTACACCTCGCCCAACTCAAGCAAGACACTGGACTTACAACTTCTCCGCATCCCTGCCACTCGGCAGCCCTCAAAGGGCAGCATCTTGTTCAACTTTGGCGGTCCTAGTGTAGCTGGACGACCTACCATGGCTAGAGCTGGAGGGGTTTTCAGGAAGTAAGTGACGTTTGGGACAGGCCTGCGAAGACATTGTTGCTAATACCATGTTACTAGTGCTACCAGCGAGTATCATGACCTCGTCACGTTTGACCCACGGTAAGCTTTGCTTGACAGAACAGCCGACATTGGCATGCATACCTTACTGACTTACCACTAGTGGAACTGGAAACACGATCCCATTCAGCTGTTTCGAGGACCAAGATGAGTTAACCGCCCACCTCCTCCGCAGCCCTAAAGCCTGGGCCATCATGACTTGGCCGAACTTCTGGTCCAACTCCTCAGACGTGACTCCAGGTAGGCTCTGGGCCTCCACGAAGCTCCTTGCCGACAAGTGCTACGAGAAGAACAAGGAGATCGGCGGCGTGTATGGCACCGCGTTTGTGGCCAGGGACATGATGCAGATTGTGGATGCCCTAGGCGAAGATGGCCTGTTGAGATATTGGGGTATGGTTTCGTCCCTGCTGAGCATCGCATCAATTGCTAAAACACGCTTCATAGGTGGCTCGTATGGGACTCTCTTGGGCCAGACGGCGGCTGCCATGTTCCCCGACAGGATCGACAGGATGGTCCTAGACGGAAATCTCAACGGCCATGAATACTACAACGCCTGGTATGTATCTCTCCTCCCTCTCAGAAAGTACCTCGTTTACTCATGCAAGCAGGGATGACGAGCAATGGGCGAGCTCCGACAAAGCCTTCAGCGCCGTCTTCCAATCATGCGTCGCAAGTCCGTCCACCTGCCCCTTGGCCCACCGGAACCAGACCGCCCAGGAGCTCGAAGACGCAACTTATGCCCTCATCAACGACCTCAACTCCCGCCCCGTTCCTTTCAACGGCACTCTGATCGACTACAACGTCGTCAAGGCCGGCATCATGTCCGCTTTGTATAGCCCGTCCTATTGGCCCATTCTCACAAATGGTCTGGACGCGCTGATGTCCGGAAACTACACTCTCTTCGCAGAGACGTGGGCTAAGTTAACGTCGTCATATGAAGGCATCGGCGCAAGCTCCGATGCGCAGCTAGAAATCAGGTGTGGCGATAAGATTGCGCGGGTAGACACGCTTGACGAGTTTCTCCCCATAATGGACAGACTGGGACGCAGCAGCAAGATCTTTGGCGACGTCCAGGTTATCTTGGAGATGACATGCGCTCAGTGGAGGCTGAATGCAAAGGAGCGATATGCCGGGGACTTTGCCGTGAAGACAAGGCACCCGGTGATGTTCATTGGGAACACGGCTGATGCGTTTACGCCGCTTGTTTCGGCGAAGAACATGAGCGATGCCTTCGAGGGAAGCAGGGTGCTGCATGTTGACGGATATGGGGTAAGTTCTTCGTGAGCGAATTGTGAGGCATAAACTGACAATTTCGGTAGCATGGTTCTGTCGGAATATCGAGGTGTGCGGCGCTGGCTACGGCCGACTACTACGTGAATGGGACATTGCCCAAGGAGGATGCATTTTGTGAACTGGATGTTCCCATCCTGTAGAAGGCGGATTCCCATGGGAATCAAGTCGAACGATCATTTCTGTTGTGACTTTATCTTGTCGGATTTCCTCTGAGCTCTATATCATTGCTTCTCACCACTGCATGCAGTACATTGCATGGTCTATATAAACAATCTTTGGTTTATTTGTCCATATTCTGCCACTCTCTGGATCTCCTCTAAATCTTGCTTCACGACTTACTGAGTTGCACTCAGCATGCGGTGACAGAGGCATTGATGAACAGCTTCTCCCACTTCATGAATAGGCTGAGCAGCGCAACAAGTGCTCCGGCAGTCATGACCAAGATATAGGTCTTGCTAATGGAATCCACGATGGCATCCACAACCCTCGCCTTAATGCCATCGTCGAGCTTTTGGACAAAGCCCCCTGCGACCCCAGAAATTTCTGTTTTTGAACTTGGCCGAGACGAAAGTTCAGAAGATCCTAACAGAGAGTTGGCAATGGCAAGCGCAGTGGTATTGCCGAGATATTTTGCCAGTGTCATGAACCCAATAACAGCCGCGACGTTCTTCGGGTCAACGACAGCCTGCGCCACGGAGAATGACGCTTGAATGAAGATGCCTATAACGAACCCAATGAGGACGGTATACCCGTATATGGCGCTTTAGCTGCTGCTACAGTCGACCAGATACATCAAAGCTCCCCCGCCGACGCTAATCAGACTGCCGACAAGATACCACAGCATATAGTAGCCAAATCTGGCCATCAAAAGCCCGTTAACAAAGATCGCGACGACTAAGACGATAATTAGGGGCAGCAGTCTGATTCCTGCATCGAGCGCACCGTCGTTTCGAGTGAATTAGAAGAATAGCGGAACGAAAAAGATCGGGATGAAGGCCCCAGCCGCGGAGGCACTAGTTGACGCGAAGAGTATGAGAACAGTTCGGAATCCAAGAAGTTGGATCAGTATCAGGCGACGGGGCAAGGTGGTGAAAACGGCCCATCTCTGCTGGACACCCAACAGAGCAACCAACACAGCAGAAACAACGAATAGGGCTATAATCTAGCCTGAATTCCACAGGTAGGTGAGGCCGCCAAAGTTGATAGCCATGATGAAGCTCACCAGACTCCCTATCAGCAAGAACATACCTGCGTAGTCTAACTGTGACGCACGTTCTCTAGGTGACACACCAGGACGAGGGTCCACGCTAGGAAGGAGGAAGATGTACGCTGGTGCGCAAACAGCCCCGATGAACAGGTTGATATAGAACGCCCATCTCCAGCCAACCGCCAACTGCTCAAAGGCACCCCCAAGCACAGGACCTAAGGCGGTACCTAGGCCCCACGTTATACCAGTGCCAGAAATATAAAGTGGCCTTTCTGCTATGGTAGTCGTGGCGGCTATGAGAGTCAGAATGCCAACATACAGCCTGCTCCGCCGATACCACAGATGAGTCTTCCGATGATCACGGCGTTCATGTTTGGTGCCGAACCGCAGATAGCTGACCCAACTTCGAATAAGACACCGTTCAGGAGATACATCCATTTCGACTTGAACTGGCTCTAGACCTGTTCCCATACCATGTTGGTCGCAGTCCCAGCTATGAGGAAGTGCTCTTGCTTTTCGGCGGTTGAGGTCTGGGTTTATATCAGGAGGCGCTGTAGTTTCGCAGCTCGTGTAGTCTGCCATGGTGAACTAAAGAACGGACGATATGGAGGAGATGAGATTTCGGGAGAGAATTTCAGCACCAGTTTCGAATGTTGAAGATACTCTTGAGGATCTCTGTCGTACTGAGTAGTGGCAGTAAGGTTCAGAGGGATAGTAATAGTGGTCTTGAGACCCCGACTGACAGCCACCAAGTACGGTCAGCTCTAACATGGGATTGGTAAGCGATAAAATTCGACTCCGAAAATCCAGCTCGAATTTTCCGAACCTCGAAACATTTTGTTGAATTTCCCGGGGTAAATATACCATGGTCTGCGCTGCTCAGCGTCGCGAGCATACACGCAAGGCAGACAAAATTCCGAAAGATCACGAATTCCCCTTTCGGCAAGCAATATTCCGTCCAAAGAAATCGTCGCTTCATAACTCTGAACTCCCTCTCTGAACGTAGGCTTTTACTCGCCCAAGTATGGTTTCAAAGTGACTGATAGTCTCATCAAGGTAGACTATGTTCGCTCTTGCCTGCTTGCAAGGCTCAGGCAGGGTGTCCATCATGCAGTGGCTTTTGGCACCGATTGCAGTCAATACCGTGCTAGCCCTCTGTACCAGATCCATAACGACCATTCGTCTCGCTGGCGTTGTTGAAAGAGACTCGGTATTCCCCAAAGCTGAGCTCAATGTCACCATCCAGATCCTTGGTGGCAACGCAATCAAAACAGGGGTGCGTCTCCTGTAGTACAGTCATCATGAAGAGAAGATCAGTACATGTGACTTGGCACTTTTTGCAGTCGAAAGTCTCTTGACAAGAACTAATGACCTCTCTTGTCACTTTCAGAACCAGGTCTAGTCGCTCCTGCTGTATTGCGGCTGCGATCTTTGCTGGAAACGGAGGTAAATCCAGCCGATGCGAACACGCCGTTCGAGGGCTGTGGTCGCCCGATGTCGCGGAAGAAAATTCGCTCTGAAGTCCAGGAGGAAGATCATAATTATCGAGTAGAGGTAGTTCGGCCACATTCTGCGGAAGGTTTTGCAGGCCACCGCCTGGCAAAAGTTGCGTAGAAGGAATTTCAGGAAGGCTGGCGTCAAAAGTCTGGGTTTGAAGAAGTTCAAATTCAGTTCACGAATCATTCGGTATCGAGTGGACTACTCACATGGATGCCGAAATCCATGCCGTCCCAGTTGAAGTTCTGTACGAGATTGCCCGTCCCGTTGGCGCAGTCTGCCAGTGTAGTTACCGGCTGGCAAATCATACTACTCGTTGATGTTTGCAAATCTAGAGCCCCATTGGATTCTTGCGGTGTGCTTGGAATTGGAGTCTGCGATGTCGGTGTGTGTCGAAGGCCCCTTCTGTCTGTCGACGGCTGATTGCCGTCCTTCCCTTGAGGGGACTTCATGAGCGCTGGTTGCAGCTGGCTATCCCGAGAAGTGTACTTGCACACCAAGCCACGGGTAACACATCTTTCACAGTCTTGCTTTCCACTGCATTTGACTTTGGCTGAACGACAAGCCTCACATGCTGTTGGTGGCCGACGGACAAGGCGTCGAGCAGGTACTCCGCCTTGGGGCCCTGTTGTCGAGCTCCGCCAGTCCAATACGAATGTGTCGGGAATTTCCCGATGTCGAGGGGTGCGCTCTGTTCGGTTTGGTGCCGTGATACATGTTGCTGAAAGGTTTAACACTGCCTGTCGTTTTGGTGCCGTGGCATGACTACGTTAACGGCAACTGGTGTTTCCAGCTCGGATAACGCCATATCAGCCAGCGCCCCTTAAATACGCAAGGATTGAAATCCATCACGTGCTAAAACCTCTGAATTACTCAGCATTTGAGAGTCAACCTTTTGTGAACATTGCGATGAGAATCCGTTAGAGGTTATTATGTTCCTGGGTGTTACCAGTGAAGTTTAGGAGCATACGAGACGTTGAAAGAAAATATTTCCGTCTTAATAGCAAAATTCATGTCGATATTTACGATTATTTGATCTTAAGATCATGTCGGAGTTGCTCTATCACAACGTAGGATCACGATTAGCCCCAGGGTTCCTCGTGTTGCTCTTTATTTCGCGCGGCTATTCTGTCAAAGTCTAGTATTCTTGAATCGGCAAAGCCAGACCGCAAGGCAGAGTAAAGCACTCGAAGATTTCTAAGTGAATCAACGGAAACAATCTAAGACTTATTATACACATCTGTCTTCTGCGCCTTTGTTCTTGGCGTTTATTCGAGTCTAAGGATAGTGATATTGAGTATCCAAACGCGCCGATGTTTTTCTGACCCCTGATAGAACATGGTCTTGGAACTCGACAGAGCCAAGCCTAGCGAAGTCGTTTAGAAGCTTCTTGTGGCTGTTTATGGTGGAACATCACTTGGGCTTTTTACTTTCGTCGCACGTAAAAGAGGGAGAAATGGCGCTCGAAAATAACATCTAGATGGCTTGTGAGGCAACAGTTGTGAGTGCTTTGTGTATCAGCCTTAAGCGAGTCACAAAGTTGGTCTTCCAGTGGCAAATCGTCCTTCTTGTCTTTATGTTGTCTGTCTCTAGCCTTAGGGACCAGTTACAACCCAGACTTTCGGAAATAATGGAGCCGATGTTTATGTTCCTCAAGAACCGCGGTCGCGGAGATGCGACGCGGTCCACCGATGGGAACGCGATGGTATCAGATCCGTCTCACTTTTCGTCTATTCTGAGGGAAAGGTGCATGCAGCTGACTGGCGGCAGGGAGTCGTCTGAGAGGTGACCTTTCGTGGATGATTTGGAGCACATTTGTCACAAGCTTTGGTCTCGTGTTAATCCAGTATCAACTGGTCGTAGGCAAAGCAGGAAGCTGAAGAAGTCGTACAAAGAATCGCTTTTGCAAATATTAATGCTTCTAGCCGCTAAGCGTCGCACTTTTAAAAATAGAGATATGTGGAGAGTCAAGAGACGATGGTGAAGTTGACAGAAAGTGTGCACTTTCGGTTTGTCACATACGGGCCTTACTTTGCTTTCGAGAGTACAGAGTTAGTGCATCATTAGAACGTGCAGCATCACTTTTGGACTCTCACACTCAACCACGAAATATGACAGCGACAGCCAAAATTTTGGGCAGGTTGTCTCTCATTTCCTCAATCCTACATTGTAGAGTAAATGCCAGAAAGCCACCCGATTTGACCCATATCCTCCACCCGGGAGACAGAGTCGTCTTCATAACAGCATGATTATTCATAAGTCATGGCGCCAGGCTCAGTCCTCCACTTTTCCCGAAATACTCTTCGGCGGGACTTCTTGCTTCAACTAGCGATCAAGCCTAGTTGAATCCCAAAGCCTGGTTGAAAAGGGTTGCCGTTGAGGCATCCTTGGTGCCCGCGGAAGCAACCTGGGCCTTGGCAGCCTGGCACGCGTCCT